GGTGCCAGGTCAAAACCTTCCTGTTCCAGAAAGCTTTTAATTGAAATAATATTAGCTGTGGGTCTGATGGCAATTTTAATTGTATCTTAATTGTATTTTAATTATTTTATCTTTTACTGTATTGAATTTTAATTATTGTAAGCCGCCCAGAGACCTCTGGGTAGTGTGGGCGGCATATAAATTGAAAAAAAAAATGAATAAAATAAGGTAATACATTACAAAACCCATCCATTTGATGGACACCAACCCCCTACACAATGGCTAAAATTGAGGAAATGTTTTCTACACATAACACAAGTTCTAAACATTAAACTGGAAGAGACTAGGCTAAATCTATGGACAGAACAAAAAACACACAATTTGTCAAATAGATGAATGCTGACAAGATTCTAGCTGGGTCAACTGAAGTCAACTGATTTCAAAGCGATATAGAAAGATCAATTAAAAATCAAGCAAAATGGGGCTACCTGGATACAAGCCACATCTTCTGTGGCTGTGGAGAAATTTAGTCAATGCATATAATTTATGCCCCTCATGCACAAAAGGTTTAACAAATGGCCAAGACAACGCTATCGAAGTAGCCTGCTTCTGGCCAAAAATAGTCTAATCATCCTGACATATTCTGTTTTTATTACCACCTATAATTCATATACACCTGTAATTTTAAATTGTGCAGGGCTTTGACGCGAATAAAGACGCTCCTCCTCGTGATACTGCACAATTACATACACATAATAGTATTTAAACAGATAAACCTGATACACCCATACGCACTCACAGCCTATTCCGACTAGGAAAAAGAGAATACCCATGAGATTAAAGAATCCCACGGCCCCAAAAAAAAGGATGTCAAGGCAATTAATTAGGAAACATTGAAAGCACCCCCCTCCCCGCGTGCACGGCTTCTTTCAAACTTAATTTGTTTTATTTGTTTCATTAATATGCATAACGCCCTATTATGGGCCGTTTACAGCAAATCAAAATATCATCCCGAAACCACAGGATTATCAAATAAAAGCCAAGAGACTATAACAGGCAGCCCTCAGGTATTTCTCGGCCCACCTGTCCCTTTCCAAATAGAAAGGAGGTTGGAAAACCGAGATTCCCTGACCGTGGAGAGGGAACCCTGCTCCGGGAAGAGAGACACACCCGGGGGGGGGAGCGCCCGTTTGTTTCGTACCTGGCCACTGCTGGCCCGCTGCCGGTGGCGGGCGCCGACCTGCAGCAGGTAGCCCAAGCTCAGCGCGAAAGCCGAGGCGGCCAGGAGGAGCGAGAACGGGCTGCCGGCGGCGACCCGCTCCAGAAGAGAGCCGCCCACCTCCAGCACGCTGAGCATCGCCATCGCCGCCGTGGGAAACGACGCGCGCGGCCGTTGGAGCCGGGAGAAGAAACCAACCGCCGGCGTGCTGCGGGGGAGGAGGAGGAAAGTGGGCGGGACCGAGGGAGGGGACCGCCCCACAGGCCGCTCCTGGGCCGATCTCTGCCCATCTGACGAACGCGGCGCCGTAGCCAATCGGAGGGCGCGCGAGAACGAGGTGACCGCGAGGGAAGCGCGCGGTTGGAGAAGGAGGGGGGGCTTCAACCTGAGGAGGGAGAGTCGGGGTTTAGGCTGGCCTTTTCTCTCCCCTCCTCTCAAGGCCTAGGTTTGGGGGTGGGGGGGATTGCTGTCGATTTTTTTTCTCAAAAGGAAGGTCGATAACAGTGGGTCGGCTGACATGTGTAAATATTGTGCCTATTCATTGGCCCCGGTGTCTTTCTGTTTGGAAGCGCAAGGAAGCCGGGGCGCTGCCTCCTGTACATTTCGAAACCGAGTGGCATCGGGCTACGTCGCGTACCTCAAAAGCAAAGCATTTCATTGGTACCTCACGGAGCTCTTTGCCCACAAATATGTTCTGCACTGTTCAAGTCGGACAAACTTCACAGCGACCTTAACAGGGCTTGGAAAGGTAACTCGAGATATTTAGAGGCGTTGTTACCCTTTCGGCCACCGCACCAGTGAGTTTTCTTGGCCAAGCGGGGAATTCAAACCCACGTCTCCTGAGTCCCCTAACAACACTTTGGGGGCTACACCACACTGAGTGTATTCAGCACAATTTCCTCCTTCAAAAATGTTTTGTATATGGTTTTGGATAAGTAAAAAATATGCTTGTTTAGTACTGTATATACTAGCCAGTACATTTGGCTTGGCTTATTTGTTTCTGTTTGAAAGACATCTGCTCTTCTCCCGTAGCATTGGGGTCTTGCTATCATCCACTGCCCCAATTCTTTATCCTTCCTGTCCCCTGCTTTTTCTGGTGAAATCCAAAGAAACAAGACAAAGACAAAAACGTGTGGTACCTTAAAGGCTATTATATTTTAATATAAGTTTCATGGACACATCTACTTCGTCAGACATTAAAAAATGGAATTAAATGTCGAAGTATCAATTTCACATTCTAAATGTTCATTGGTTATATGCAATAATTAGGCTGTTTTTAAGGTCCTGTTGTAAAAATTCTTCAAGAAGATAGAAAACAGACACCAGGTCTGAGCAGAGATGGGGAAGAGAGAGAAGTGGGGGTTGAAGATGCAATTAAACCTCAAGAGAGGAAAGAATTGAAGAAGTTAACAGAAGAATCATGTGTTAATGATGAGAATATAGACAGTTTTCATTGTGCTGGATTTTTCTACACACCTTCACCAAGCACTGGTAGTTGTCACATAGTAGTTTCCAAAACGCAGGCATTCACAACTATACATTGTCTAAGGTTTTAGGCCTTGGCAAATCATGTGGCGAGCGACTGTACATAAAGGACTGAACTGTACCTGCAGCCATACATGTCACTAATTCCCCACTCCCAAGCCTTTCTTTTAAAATTATGGTGTGAATAGAAAAAAAGGTGGTTTGGCCACGCACAACTGCAGCCAAGGCTTGTTTAACATGGGTTGTAATGCTAGGGCTTCAGTCCCTGCCTTACTCCAAATGATATGATAGACCTAAGTCTACAAGTCTGCTTCCCAATCCAAGGAAGTTAGACACCTGGCTGTGGAGCAAACGGTTAGTTCAGCTCCCCATTGTGCACCCCAGAAGAGTCAGCCTGTCTAGATTTGGGCAAACTGCATAGTCTGAGGATGCCCTGGGAATAGTAAACCACATCTGAGTAATCTACCTGGAAAACCATGAAAATGGTTGCAGTCAGAATTGATGGCACATAACAACAGGTAGGAAGAGCAGATAAATGGTGGGACACAACCATTGATCTCAGAGACTCTATGTTGTTGGTCGATTCATAGCAGCACATCTGGAATTTAGAATTACCGTATGTATTTTTCCGTTTATAAGACAAGCCAATGTATAAGATGATCCCTCCCTTTCTAACCCCAAATTAGAAAAACTGATCCCTGCTTTTCTCTTCCTTTTGCTAAGCCACAGAGTTTAGCAAAAGGAAGGGAAAAGCAGGGATCAAAGGACTACCTTTGACTGCCACTTTTCCTTGCCTTTTGCAAAGCCACAGAGCTTAGCAAAAAGGAAGGGAACACTCCCCTTCGGGTAAATGCTGCACAATTGCAGCTCTTTGATCCTGAAGCCCTTTCATGGCTGTTTTGGGCTCAAAGGGCTGCGATCATGCGTTACCCACAGGGCTTTGGGCTCAAAGGGCTGCGATCATGCGTTACCCACAGGGCTTAGGAAGTGGATAAAGCAGCCATGAAAGGGCTTCAGGATCAAAGGGCTGCAATCATGCAACCCTTTCACGGCTGCTTTACCCAAAGGGAGCCTTCCCTTCCTTTTTGCTAAGCCCTATGGCTTTGCAAAAGGCAGAGAAAAGCGGCTGCCTTCCATGTATAAGATGACCCTCAATTTTTTTGTCTAATTTAAAGAAAAAGTGTCATTTTATACACGGAAAAATACGGTAGCTGGGAAAGCTCTGCTAGGGATGCCACAGAACTCTGTGGGTTGTAGAGTTCTAATTGTGGGAAATAAACCACAGTATACCACACCCTGAGGGGTTGGAGATAGGGATTTCTTGACAATGCCAATGTTAGGGATTTACTATCCATTAGAAGTCTAGTAGATATGTACCTCTCATGCTCCTATCTCACAGAACTAGTTGAAAACTATTTGTGCAATCTTTTAGGAGATAAGTGTTTTACTGACTTTTGTTGTTTATTTGCATTGTTTATTGAATTGTATTTTGGCAGTCATTTCTAGTTTGAGATTTTAGATATTTGCAAATTGTCATTTTAACTGTGTTTTCATACAGATTGTTAACTGTGCTGAGCAGCTATGAAGAAAGACAAGGTATAAATCTCACTGATAATAATAAAAATGCTACATATTTGCAAACAATTGTCCATCCACTCCACCAGACTTCCATATTTGGCTTTAAACATAAATAGTGGGGTGATATTAATGGGAAGAAATGGTAGTATATGTGCGGTGGGAACCTATATTTTAAATGTACTGAGCCCCCTAAAATATGACTGGACCCTGAAACTAACACAAGAAATCATGTACAATAATGATCTATATTTACTTGGCACAAAAAGTACATAAACATTACTCAGTTTTCTGTTTTAATGCGTTTTCTACACCATAGCCAAATTAATTACAAAACACTAATTGAAATCCATATAGGGCTATTTTTTAAGGGAAAGTAATGGAATTTATCACAGAAATTTATTGAGTCCTCATGAGTTAAAATTACTCAGTTTATGTACCAAAATAATTGAACTAAAATAGAAATAAAGCTCTTCAGAACTTTACAACTCTTGAACAGAGTTTTACAGCTTTCACTTTGTTCGTCAGATAATACAGACCAGCCATGGTCAATATTCTAATCAACTGGTCTGTCATGGCTGATGCGGTCAGTCCTTGATTTGCCGTTTTCCAGTTGTTCAATGCCTGATAAACTTTTTCTTCTAATAAAAGAGTCCTAATAAGAGAAACGGAGAGAGATAAAATCTTGGTATATTCCAGACCTTCTAAACAACAAAGAAATATACTAATGAAACCACAGCACATGTAAGGAGGAACTGATTGGAACTAGACTGTTATAATTAGGAGGGAAATACATTGTAATCACTAACCTGTTATTTTCAATAGATTTTATTATGGCACTGTTAAGTTTCAGTTTTTCACAAAAAAATTCAAAATGTTCAAATGGGATACCGGTAGCAATTATCTTCAATACCTTCTCCAAGATCTTTTCTAGAATAAGGACATGGAAGTGTTACAGACCAATACTTTCATAGCAAAAAATCCAAACTTTGAATATAGTACAAAAAAGCTTTGCTCTTCCAAACCTTGGTGAAACTTTATCCTTTGATGGGTCAGGTCAAAGGAACACCAGAAGCTACAGTGTTAGCATGTAGTTACATGAGCAAGTCTGGGTTTGAATTGGGTTTATTATGTTTCTAATCGGCCTGAAACTTTTTGTCTACATGATGAACAGGGAAGCACAGATTTTTTTTCCCTGAGGAAGTGTAGTTTTTTGGTAAAATGTTTTCCTAGAGGGCAAGAAGGTCATTTATTTTAACTCCCTTAGGAAATTGATTTACTTTTAATATTTTGGCATATGTGAACACTTCTGTTAGTGTAAATTATGTCTATGGGGTTTGCCATTCCCACCACTCACTGGGGTGCCTTCTCACCAGCCCCTGCTACCAGTTCCCTCTTTTTCTCCACCAGACTTCCCTCTGTGTGTGTGTGTGTGCCAGTGCACCTGTGTCAGACTGCAGTCCAATGGGTTTGATTTTTTTCTATCTGCTATATTGAAATAGCAATACGCCAGTTTGAAAGAATTTTTTTTTAAACGGTACTCCCGAGGGGTGTCAGGAATACTCCTTAAAGGAGAATTCACTAGGCAAAGGTGCTGACTTTAGTTCCCAAATTCCACCACCCTTTGAAACGTAGCTTGGGTGAAACCTAGAGGGTGTGTGACTCGGTAACAATGAGCAAGCTTCTAAACCTAGATTTCCACCTGTCCCCTTATTTTTGAGACAGAAATTCTGTCCCCTCACTCTAGGGATCCCACTCACAAAAGGAGTGAAGGCTGCTGTCACTTTAAACATTTACTGAAAGAGGAGCCTCTGTCTGGCTTCCACAGGCTCAGGGAACCTCTGTGTTTTTTTAATCTGCAATACTGATAAATCCATATGTCAGTTTGAAATAAATATAAATGAAATTAATATTAAAAATAACAGCACAGCAGCGGCGGTGACTGGTTAGTGTGAGGGTGGGTAGGTGCAGGACAAATCCCCCAATTTCAATGATTTTAAATGCCCATGTAGCCTTCTCAATCAATACATACCTTATCTCAATCTTAAAAGCAGATTAAAAGTTTTCCCAAGAGAATGCAAACACCAGCCCAAATACCATTTGACTACCATCTGACTTCAACCTGATTTCAAAAACCCAATCCATCTTTAAATTAGTTTTCATAATATTGTTTCTCAGTATATCCAGAAACATTAAGGGGCAGCTTACAGCAACTAATACCTCATCATTTCTACCATTATTTTCCATTACAAGCATACTACTGGAAAGCTTTAGTTGCTTGCTAGGGAAACATTTTGCATGAGGGTCACTTCTTTTGGTATATACGCTGATAAAAGACATATAATTAGATATATAATTTTCTGGCATCCAACAGAGCTTGGAAATAACAAGTGACAAATAATTAGTTTTCTGTAAGAAAGGTGAATTTCAAGAGCAGAGAGAAAGTATTTTACCAAATTAACCAGCAAAGTTCTCTTGTTTACTTTCAAAAGCTACTTTTAATGGAATTTCAGGGGCATTTGGTAAAAAAAAAATTCAGGTTTTATACCATCCTCTTACCAATCCCTTTTCAAAAAAGAAACCCCCCAAAAAAAGTATTAGCAAACCAAGATGTTATGCAACTGTCATCCCTGTGGACCAATTGGTTCAGACTAGTGGGTGCAGAAATTTGTGACTTAAAATTTCAGTTGTAAGAGAGAGAGACCTAGAGCGTGCAAGAGCTGCTTTTCCTCTGAAGGATGATATAGGCCCTCACCAGCTTGGTTTAAGACTTTAAAGATTGTACACTTTGAGTTGTCTTGTTTTGTGGTTTGGGCTCTCTGCCTTTCACAGTAAAGACTTCTGGGGCTTTGTCCCTGACCCACTTTGCTTTAAAAAGACAATTGCAGCACTTCGTTTTCCCCTGCATGCAATTGATGGATGCTGGTGGATGGAACTCAAGGGATTATATTCTATTAATAGTTTTGTAATTTTAATATATAAAAAATATACCTGTAGCTCCATAGAACCCAGAGACTGGTACACAACACAGCACTCTTTCACCAATACAGTATTTTACTTGTGAATTGCTTGTTACCACTAATGTCATGAGGAACTGACTTTTTTTTAAAGTACAGTACAATTCTAAGCTCTATATCTACCCATTACATTTGTTGCTCTGCAATATAAGGAGGTGAAGAAAGAATGGAGATGTTGTCATATTGAGAAGCAAGATAGGACCAAGCAACACACAATGAAAAGTGGGAAGACTGACTATTTGCTACATTCTTGTGGAACAGGATGGAAGGTGATCTAAACAAATCTCATATGAATAGATATGTCCCTCATGGCTGGTTGTCTGAGAAGGAGCTATCAAGTCTAGGAATTCCAGGATCACAGGACAGACAAACAAATGAATGATATATGTTTTAAATGCAAGAATTTTAGAAGATCTAATGAACTATGTAATACTGTAAAAAATTCATTCTAAACTTACCGTCTGCTTTGTCAGCACTTTCTAAATAGTGTGTTATGGGGACCAATTGTTTTCCTTTACAGACTTCCACTGGAGGTCTGATCAGAGCATTTCCATCAAAATTTATATCTCTCAGTCCAAGAAGAAGGTGCATATCACTAGGCAAACACAGTATCTTATTTTCTGTCAAAAAGGCACAAAACATTTATATTCTGTTAATCTAAGATAGTGCTGGCCACAACTAAACAAAAGTACCCTTCTCTTATAGGTGAGCAGCAGCATTGGCAACATCTGTGCAAATGCTGTCTCTAGAGGAAACAAAGTAAAATCTTAAAAGTAATTACAGCAGTCTCACGTCTCATCATCATCTTTGACCAGTGGTTCACAACCTTGGGGTCTCAGATGTTCTGGCCAGCACAGAAAGCTTGGTTAGCACAGTTCGTGGTGAAGGCTTCTGAGAGTTTTAGTCCAAGAGCATCTGGTGACCCAAGGCTTGCAACCACTGTCTTAGACACTCCCTTACCTCATACAACGTCAAACAAAAATGCCTTTTCAGGGTACTGCAGCCACAAAAATAATTCCAGGATCCAGTTTCAACTTTTAATATTATAAGGTCTGATAAATCTGCTTTGTAACTGCACACTACTAATGGAAGTAGTAGTGACCAACCACTGAAGTGTCACAATTTGCAACAAATATTTTCTAAATTCTAAGTGGTGGTGTTGTATCATGTCCAACAACCCATTGCCCCCAGCATACTGACATTTTTTACTGTTATCTTAATATCAGCAAGATATAACTACAACTTCAAGTTCTAATTGCATTAACAGAACTTACCCTGTTCTGTCTTTCTTATCTTACAATTAATATGTATTCCTCTCAGTTCCTAGATGGTATCTCCTTCCAATGCAGGCCCTATCTGATTCACTCATGTTACTTAGCAACACAGAATTCCAAATAACATTTTTCCCTCTTATTCTTTCTGCCTCCTTTCATAGGCAAATCATGCTTAAAATCAGTTGTTAGTTACAAATAAAGTTGACCTACTGAATCAATTGCTGAATGATGGTCAATCTTATGTAAATTCAATTGATTCAGTAGACCAACTTCAGTTGGGACTAGCAATTGGACTTAGGCCACATTACCCACCAGGCATTCCACATCAGTCACCCATTCTTCTTGAATTATTCAATGCTTACCTTTCAAATTTAGTTGCTGTAGATTATGGAGTGATGAAAAACTCAATGGAAGCTTTGTTAAGCAGTTGTTGTTTGCTATTAAAGTGACCAAACTTTTCATTTCACCTATACCTTCTGGCATTTCTTCTAATTCATTGTAAGATACATCAAGTTCTTTAAGGACCACCAGCTTTGATATCTCTTCTGGAAGTAATTTTAACTGAGGATTAAAAGGGCAAAATAGTTTTTAAAATATAATAATAATGCACTGTCAAGTGAAATCCGAGTTATGGCAGACTTTGTCTGGGCATCCTTAGTGTATAAAGTACTCAGAAGTGATTTTCCACTCTTATTTTGGGAGTGCTCTGGGAGAGTGTAGCTTGTCTAAGGCCACAGAACTCCCAAGCCCTTACTTCTCAGTCAGCCCCAAATAGTTGTAGCATCATACAGTATATTTATATATAAGGGCCATTTATGTAAATTGGGTGGGAGGACCCTTTACATCCCACCTCAGAATAAATAAAACATTGGTTTAAAAAAACCAGAATTTTTGCTTCCTGTGGAACATGGACGCCCATCTACCATATTTTGCGGGCCATCTGGGCTCCTTGTCTCTCCATCCCCTCAGCTCCAGAAAAAAAATTGTACCACAGAATGCAAGGGGACTTTTACAGTAGACACCACCACCCTACAATATCTGGATGAAAACATTGGGAGGTGTAGGAATGGGTGCAGGCAAAATATTTCAAAGTAAAGGGATGGTTGTGTGCAGCCCCCAGACTATGGAAGTTTCCCAAACCAGATGTAAAGTTTCAAGCTCGCAGTTGATTTTATAGTATATCAGGTAGTTATGTGATTTTTTTTCTCGCCAGAGGATGGAACTATGAGATAACTATAAATAACAGCAATATTTTGGTTGATAAAGAATAGGGTTGGTATGCAGAACCAGCCCAAGGCATATCGACATTTTTAACAGTTATTCAGATAATGCTGTCTGATGCAAATGTTGATTGAAGTAACAGATGACTCTTCAATAGTCACAATGGAAGCATACCCAGTACCATACCTGAGGTTAACAAACTAGCCTAGAGAATACACAGTTAACTTTCAGGTCATAGCTCTCACCAACACTTTGATTATGTCTCTTAGCAATCCCCTCCAAGATGTTTGCGCTATCTTGCCTACTTGAAGTTAGACTTTGAACATGAAATTGTGATACACAATTATATCTCAATACTGTAAAAGCTTTCCAGACTGTGATCTGAACTATTAAGTGAATTAAATAATTCCCTGTTAAAAATCTGATTCTGGCTGGCTCCTATTTTGCTTGGCTGTCATGACTTTGTTTCTCTGATTTGGCAGGACTCATTTAAATGTGAAGTATTTTCTTCAATTCCTGCTAAGGCTGGCAGCTAAACAGTTGTTAAAAGGAGTTGAAAATGTCTCAAAGGAGACATCAGTTCCAATGATGGACACACATTTTTTCTGTGCCACCGTTTCATTTGTTTCAGCAAGATTTACAGACTTTCAAACCACCATTCTTAAACTTTTGTGTTCTACATGTTTTGAACTTCAAAACAGCCAGGATCGCCAGTAGTCAGGATTTTGGGGACTTGAAGTTCAAAATATCTGGATGATCAAAAGTTGTGAACTACTGCTTTAAATTATTGGGGGAGATGACCCATTCAGCCTGTTTTTTTAAGTCTAAGACAAGAGTGGGCTAAGTGTGATCTTCCAAATACTGCTGAGCTACAATTCCTAGTATTTCCCATCATTGTCTCTGCCAGCTAGACTTAGTCACTCAGTGAGACTTTTTATTCTGTGTCGATTTGTATCAGACGCCACTGCTAACCACTTTAAACTTATTTTTCTGTTTCTGGAAATTTACATAAAAAAATAAAGATATCCTCAGTTCTAAAAGGTACAGCTATGAACATGAAGTTATGTATGACTTACAGTTTCATATTCTAATTTTTAAATTACCTTCTGTCCATTTTTCTGGCACAACGTTAATCTCTGCAGTGATGAAATATGGCAGATTTCAGTAGGGAAAGATGCAAAATTATTGTTTGACAGATTTAAGTCTTTTAGTTCTTGCAGTTCATTAATGTCTGAAGGAATTAGCTGTATCTTGTTTTCAGAAAGATCAAGTACCTTAAGTTGATTTAGACCACATAGCTCTCTGGGAAACAAAATAAACTTGTTGTGGTGTAAGAGCAGAATCCGAAGAGCCTTCATTTTGTGCACATTGGTTGGAATACTGCTTATTTCATTGTTACTGAGGTCTAAGTAGCTTAATTTGGACAGAGTGCAGAGGTGAATGGAAAATGAGGGCAATTTGTTTTTACTGACATTTAAATATTGCAAATTTTCAATGAATGAAATTTCCATAGTTATTTCTGAAATGTAGTTTCCACTGAGATTTAGATGTTTAAGAGCAACCAGTGCACACAGTCCCATTGGAAACAAAGACAGCTTGTTGCAACTCAAATCAACTCTAGTGATTTCTGTACAACTTTTTATTTCAACTGGGATATACATTAAGGCATTCCCTGAAATCTCCAAAACTGAGAGTTCTTTCATGAATGCTATTTGTTCATCTAATAAGATCAGTTGATTTCTGCTGAGGTAGAGTTCCTTTAAATATTTTAGTTTGTGCAGATTGGCAGGAAGCTTTTTGAATTGGTTATTATTAAGGTTGAGACATTCTAGCATGGTACATTTGCAAATGTTATCTGTTATGTTTTTATATAGATTTTTTGCAAGATTGAGATCCCGAAGCTTTTTAAAGTTCTCTACTTTATCTGATAGGCTTTCTAACTGGTTGTCATCCAATTTCAGTTTCTCTATCTCTTTCAACTCAAAGAACTGTACAGGCAAAAAAGTCAGCTTGTTGTTAGTTAGTGAAAGCTCTTTTAAAGTTTTGAGTTCTTTAATTTCCTTTGGCAAACTTTGTATCTGGTTTTCTGACAGGTTGAGTTTATTTAACTTAGGAAGGTAACAGAGGCTTTTTGGAAAAACAGACATCTTGTTGGCGGTTAAGTAGAGTACACTGAGATTTTCCATGTTGACCATAGATTCTGGCAGAGTTACCTTATTTTCACTGAGATCTAAAATTTCCAGATTTACAAGTTTTTCCAGAGCAGAAGGAAACTGTTCAATTTTGTTATGATTCATCAAAAGATACTTCAATCTTGAAAGTTTTGAAAATTCATTTGGGAGCCATGATATCTGGTTATAATTGAGATTTAGAGTTCTAAGATTTTGAAGTAGGGAAATTTCAGGAGGTAATGATGTTAACAGATTTCCCTCCATTGATAATATTTCCAGATTTGTCAAAGATCCTATCCCTTTTGGTATAGTTTTGATGTTGTTATTGTTTAAGTACAAATAATTCAACATTTTGATGTTAAAAATTCCTGTGGGAATCTCAACTAGCCCCTTAGTGTTTAGTTGGATTACAGAGTCATCAAGCATAATTTCAGACAGAACGTCTGATGATACCTTTTGGGGTATTGTAGCACTCTCTATAGAGTGTAATAAGCTTTTTCTAGCTTGCACTTCAAAAAAATTTGGTGGGATGTCAGTTAACCCTTCAGCATATAGATAAGCAATAAGCTCAGTCTCTTTACCTTCAGATATCAAGACTGCTGATATCTTCTTAAGACTTTCTAATTTCTCTTTGGCATATTTTTCTGGATCTCTTTGAGAAACCTCTGAAGGGCTTTCCATCGCTTGTTCTGTATGACTGTCTTGGAATTCTCCTGACTTTTCCACATACACACCACTTGTTGATGAAAATCTCGTCATGTCCAAAGCTGATTTTGACTGTGATATATCTGATTTTCCATCTGTCTCAAGAACACCAATATCTGTCTCAAGAATCCCATTGTCATTAACAGTAGGTTCAGGTTGTTTTTGATTTCCTTCCTGTAATGAACTTGTAGATTTTCCTTCCTGTAATGAACTTGAAGATTTTCCAGTTGCATTAATTTTTCCAAGAGATTGTGTTCTTCCATTTTCAGATAAACCTAGGGAGACTTCATTAACTCCTTCTGAATTAACATTCAGGGACTGATCCTCCTCTTTTTCACCAGACATGCTTTCCAAAGTAAAATTTCAGTCATATGCTTGTTCCAATCTTTAAAAAAAGAGAGTGCAGCATAAAAACAGCATGTAATAGATGTAATCATAAAGAAATTGAAGTTAAGAATAAGCAATTAAATTTTAAATGTAATACCAGTCACAATACAAATTAGTTGTAATTGTTTTTTAAAATAGCTGATATAATATATATTTTGAACACTATATTACTATTTTACAATTCTGATTCTTTTTCTAATTTTGTCAATGACCAAATAATTTAACTACTTAATTTTTAAGCCTATATTCAACAGTAACAGTAAGATATTTGTCTGGAAGTCATAATTAAAGCACAAGTTTATTTATTCAAATATGCTGGCTCGTGCTGTTGCCATAAATTACACCATGTAAGGCTAATGATTTTATCAGCTGTGGTGATTAAAAAAAACAAACAAACATCTCCCATTTCTCTATTAAATTCTTTACATTGTTTGGAAGATATTGGTGGCTGTGGGATGGAATGGTGGAGTTTGGTGGTGGTGATTTTTTTATCATTTAAAACTCCCCCTTCCCATTATACAGGCTTTATTTAATGTCAAAAATTTCTGTATTAAAATCTGTGACAATACTTCCTTTATATTAATCTCACCTCATCCAGTTCTCAACTGCCACTACAGTTCAAGTGAATGTTCCATTCCAGAACAATTCCGATTGGCCCAATTCTCTCCTCTTGTACAAGTAATTGAGAAATTGTAATTAGGTATGTGGCAGGTCTTTAGAACACAACCTCATGATTTGTAAACCTACATGACAGGAGTGTTCAGGAATTATTTCAAATATTTTTCTTGGTTTATATATCTGTTAAGATATATAACAGTTCCCTCTTGATAATCTTTTCAGGAAGGCACATCAGTTGTCCTATGAAAAAATGAGTAGACACTTATTTGTGTAAACAGATAAAACAGAATATTTCATACTCTATCCAAGATTCTGTGTTACCTTTTGGAATCTTTATTTGTACAACCTTGTAATTTATTAACATTGAAAGTTTAAAAGATGTGGAAATATCCTGCTTAACTATGGTTAATGCTAACTGTGATTGTTGTTAACTTTGGATGAAACAGTAACATTATAATGTCCATATTTGGACAAGCAGGTATCAGGGTAAGCAACATGGATATAAATCCCAACTTCTTCTTCGTGGCCTCTGTGAAGCCACACAAATGGGTTTTACTGCGCCTGCGCAGGACTTCTCGGAATATTCTAGAGCTTAAACAGATGTGATTAGTAGGACGTTGCCCGGTGGTGCGCATGCTCCACCCACCCGTTACCTCAGTTCCTTTTAGCCGCCACTGAAATCGAACTTCTTTGACTGGAGCGCTTAAGAAGCCCCTTCACAACTGGCCAAGCATGTGGAAGGCTGTCTTACCTTGGGTCAGGGTTTGAGCATCACAACGCATAGAGATAGGAAGCATCCCTGCACTCCCAGCCACAGTCTCTTCAAGATCTTTGCCAGCCCCCTTCCACTTAAAATCTTCATGTTGCTGTTTGCTTTAAGTCTCTTTGAGGTGGGTGAGTGACTATGTGCTCCTGGGGTTTTCTGTCTATTTTGTATGCTGTCACAATTTTGCAGGTGATTTACGCATTGGGTGTGGTTTTGGCATTGGAACAATTTGCTTTGAGGATCCCCATAGTATATCATGTGAGTAATGGCTGTTAGGAAGACACCATTCTTGGGGGCTAATGGTCTGGTTTCATTTCAGATGAGAAACAGGGACTTCCACCCATGGGGAGAACCTATCTCCCAATCATCCTGGTGCTTTCCTAGTATGTGGCCTGGGGGTATATGGTTTATTATTGTAGTATCTAGCTGTGGAGGCAAGAACAGGGAGTTCAAATCTCCACTATATCTTCTGGAAGAAGAGCCAACCAAGATCACCCTGAGCTTGTGCAACATATAGGAATGTATGACACATTGCTGTTGTTATCGTTGTTAATTGCAGTTTGCAGTCTTGGTTTCATAATGCGTCATTGATGCATGGGTTCCAAATGGTTGTTTTGTATCTCAGTTTAAGTTGAGATTTTAACATTCAGTGCAAGCACTCTTAGCCTAGTGCTGGGAGATACCATGAAAACCTGTCTCAGAGGGGCAGGACTAACAGTAAAACAATGTGGCTTCTTAATCACTTAGCTCCGCAAGGCCTTGTGATCCCGTGCTGCCCCCTTCTCTCCTTGCATAACATTGTGGGGAACAGATGACTCCGATACTCCATTATTTGCAAATAAAACATCTTTATTGCTTAACAAGTCTTGATAGTCTTTGTCAACAGTAACATGTCTTGCTTTTCCCTGAGACGGCACCAAACCTTTTGTCTTCAAACAATAACAAATTCCCCTTCAAAGTGAGGGGCGAAGAATTCAAAACATGTCAGTAAAATTTAGACTCAGAGCCCAGGTCATCTGGTGCAAACACTCTTGGTATCAGTGATGGGGGTGAAAGACCCAGCCCACCTGTGGCTCCCAAACCTTCTTGTCCGACATAGGTCTTAGACAGGGACAAAATGGACTGGCTCCACAGGGTCTCCCAGGTCTCTCCATACCTTGATTGCATTCACTCCGTTGGGCCTCCCTCTGCTGCCAAGCTTTATATTTCTTTCTTTCCTCTCTCTTTTGTTTCACCCCAGTATGGGGGTTTCCTGTACACCTGTCTCTTCCACTCTTTCTCTGCATACGCATATTATCTCGGGAATTTAAATTCCACTCATTCTCCTGCCCATGGATCTTCCTGTACCAAATCCACGAGACCTTCCTTTTTATTCACTTTCTCCATCCAACATAACTCCCTCTCCTCTATCTCCACCAACTGCTCCCCTCCTTCCTCTCTGGTCCCTGTTTTCTCTCCTGCCAACAACCTCTGCCTCAATGGTCCTTGCAACTGCCACCCTTTGAACCAATGACTACCTGTAATCTCAAGTTGCTTTCTTTAAAGATATTGTTCCTTGTTGCAATAACATCTGCTAAACGTGCAAGTGAATTAGCATCCCTCTGATCAGATCCACCCTATCTTCAATTCTATCCAGACAAGGTCACCCTCTATTTTGATGTATCGTGTTTACCCAAAATTGCCTCTGATTTCCATCTTAATCAACCTTTGATTTTGCCAACCTTATTTCCATCTCCTTCTATGCCCCTTGAGTGCATGCTCCACATGCTGGATAAGACAGTCTCTAGCCTTCTATATCAACAGGACACAAATATTCAGGAAGTCCCCAAGATTTTTCTTATGCTTCCAAGGCCCTCATAAGGGTTCTCCAGCCTCATCCCAAACCATCTTGCACTGGATTGCCCAGACTATATCATTGACTTATTAACACTTAAAGGCTAGTTCTACCAGAGCACTGTCAACCTCTACTACTCTCCACTGTGGAACAGAACTACCACACATCTGCCGTGCAGCTACTTGGTCTAACTCATTGACCTTTGTGAGGCATTATCACCTTGAAGTCAGGGCAAAGAATGATGCTGCTTTTGGCAGAGCGATCTTGACATCTCTTCTACTGTGACGTCCCACCATCCAGTAAGTGACCTTGTCAGTCACCTATTTGTGTCCATTCACAGAGGCCATGAAGAAGAAAGAGAGGTTACCTACCTCTAACTATGGTTCTTCTAATGGTCCTCTGTGAATCCACACATACCACCCTTCCTCACCTCTGTCTGTCACATTGTCTTTTAATATACTACCTTGACAGCGGCGGATTATTATAGCAACTGAGGGGACGCTGGGAGGGTGGAGCATGCACTCCACGGGGGAACGTCTCATTATCACGTTTTAAAGCTCTAGAAACTTCCAAAACGTCCTGCACAGGCGCAGAACAACCCATTTATGTGGATTCACGGAGGACCACTAGAAGAACCATGGTTACATATAGGCAACCTCTTTTTCTCTTGTAGAGATCGATGGTACACCCCTTGGACGACCTCTGGGGTTGCTCCCAGTCTCACAGTTCTCCACAAATAAAACAACTTCTTTCTTTGCATGCAGAAACGTGTTGGATCTGTCTTAAGTCAAGGTTTGTTCAATGCAAATACAATATTTAATTACAATTTGCTTTGTTCTTTACAGCAGATCCTTAATGGGTATGAAGTAGAGATGGGGATATTTGTAAACAAATACAAATATCCCCGTCTCAGCTGGACCTAATGAGGGTTCGGCCGCCTGGGACCAGCCTGTCCACTCACGCGTCCCAGCACCGTCCTGCTCTTCCTGCCAATGGCACAAGGAGATCCACTGGCTCCCTGCTTGACTAGCCACTCAGCAGCCGTGTGGAGAGACTTGTTTCCCCTGCCTGGAGTGGTCAGCTGAGCAGGGAGATAGTGGAGCTCTTGATGCCGTTGGTGGGAAGAGAGGGACCTTCACAGCACTGGGAGACGTGGACAGGAAAGGCCCTCATTAGGTCTAGCTAGGACCGGGATGTTCATATTTGTTTACAAATACAAATATCTCTTGGTTGTTGTGGGTTTTTCGGGCTCTTTGGCCGTCTTTTGAAGGTTGTTCTTCCTGACGTTTCGCCAGTCTCTGTGGCCGGCATCTTCAGAGGACTGGAATAGGAACTCTGTCCATGCTCTGTGTAAAAGTAAGCAATCTCATTTATATTGCTATTTGTTGGATAGTTGAGTATTTATAGCTGTAGGCTTTTTTCTTTTTCAGGAGATAGGGTGATGATGATGATCAGCATGTTTTTGTTGTGGATGTATTGTTGTGATAAGGGGGAAAGATTATCAGTCACTATGATTGATGGGTGTCTTTAGCTGGTCTTTTTTGTGCACAGTCAGATACCTAAACCTCTGAGCTATCTAGCCAGTCCCACGTAACTACACACACTGTATGTATGTATGTATGTATGTATGTATGTATGTATGTATGTATGTATGTATGTATGTATGTATGTATGTATGTATGTATGTATGTATGTATGTGGAGGTGGGCTGGGGAAGCTAGCTTTGAATGGGCAGCCATCAGAGGAGGCAGAAGAGGGAAGTGCATGCAGTGTTTAGTGACTGGGCAGTCGCACTGAGAAGGCAGGGAGGGAAGCTGGATGAGCTTGCAGAGGAGGCAGGAGAGTGTGCTTCACCTGCAGAGCACCTTTGTGGGCACCGCACTGAACTGGCCTTAACCGCTCAACTGTGGCTCATGCCCATTTATAGTGGTGACACAAGCAGAAGAGAAAAAAATCCTTCTAATTGCAGCTCCAGCTGAAGAATCTGTAGGTGGTGCAGTTCAAAGGAATGCCTTAAGAGATTAGTGCTAAGGTGTGTGTTTATGTATGTGCGCCTCATTGTGTTTGTGTGCTCAGTTGGTCTTTCCTTGCTGCCTTGGAGAATGGGAAAAAGACTTTTTTTAAAAGTAGAAGGGTCTCTAGTGCAGAGGAAAAACTACAGATTGGGAGACTGTGATTTTGTACTGACTTTTTTCTATGCCAAAGTGATCTCATGCTAAACATGTATGAGTGTAATAACTTAGTGCTAAACTAATTTATTTTTAAAAAAATTAAATTCTGGGACATTCAGGGGACAGATCTTGGGGGCAGGTGTTCCTGCAGTCTCTAAACATCATGCCCCAACTGCTTCCGTCACCACCACACCACCACCCACATGCCACCCCCATCATTCTACAAAACAGAACAGGCAAATCATTTCTGCTTGAAAAAAGTAGAAGCCCACAACAGCAGAGAAAAAACTGCTTTGGGAGCAAAAAGAGCTAGACCAAGTTGAATTGACCTTTGTCCCATGTGATCAGTGAAAAAAAAAAGGAATTCATCCATTTCATATCCACAGCAAATCTTGCTGTATTTAACCATGCAGTTGCAGCCTCAGCCAGAGATATAAATGAGATCGCTTACTTCTACACATGCATAATCCCTAACTGTCTTACAATATATGTTTGCTATTCAGGTTCTACTAAACTCATTTCAGGCTACAGTTAAAAGTCTAAAAGTTGCCTATTAAATTCCAAAAGTTACAAATCATGGTATAATTGTTTTCAGGTGCTCAGATGCATGAAAAACCTGAAGGCAGTGGGAAAAAAGGAAGGCCTAACCTGATAATGATTGACTAAATAAAGGAAATGCTCCCTTCCAGTTTGCAAGATTGGAGCGGGACTGTTAATATGACCTTTGGAGGTCCTTAATTAATTGGATCACTGTAAGTTGGAAATGATGGCTCGTAATAACAATTACTGTATTGTAAGAATTAGTCCCTGGTGATTCAGTTCTACTAGTTTGATAATAGTGCTAGGCATGTTTTGGGTCTGGTATGATCATGGAATTAGGTAAGGATTTTTGTTGGGTTTGGTTTGGTTTGGTTTCTCACCTCCAGTTCCTGTGACACTGTGCAAAAAGTTAGGCTTTGAATGAATAAGCATTTGAAGCATGGCAAAGGCACATGTTTAGGCTTCAGATTAGAGCGGCTCCTGCGACTGAGATAGGTCACAGGCACACTAGAGCAGAGGTCCCCAACTCCCGGTCAGCGGCCTGGTGCTGGTCTGTGGCCTGAGCCGGACCGGGCCACGGAGAGACCTCCCCCCACCCCTGCACACACTCCCCCCACAGCCTGTTTGTGCTTGCATGCGAGCGTGCCCCTGCACAAGCGCTGCACCACCCTTTGCACATGTGCGCAAGCAAGCGCCTGCATGAACGCTGCCCTTCGCGCATGTGCACAAGTGCAGGGGGGTGCCCTGCCTTCCCCAGCTGGTCCACGGGGCTGAAAAGGTTGGGGACCGCTGCACTAGAGCAATGGGTAAGGGCAGCAATGATTTAACATTTACCTTCCCACAGCATCCAGTATCAAGACAAATACACTGGGTATGTTTATACAAAAGATGAACTCCACAATTGTTATCCAACTTATAGCCTGCAAAATAAGTGACAGTTTCTGCCTTCTCATGTTGTTCAAAGTAGCTACTCATTAAAGGTTGTCAGTATCTTGACCTCCCCTATATCTCCCCTGCTCTGCACAGGTGATTGTGTGATCAGGGTTAAAGTCCTTTACTCCTTTCAATACATTTGTCTGTAAAGGAGGCTACGGTAGCCCAAAATTCTAACAAAACAGGTTTCTTATCTAACAATTTCACAGCTGAAATGAGTAAGCTGTTCAATACTATTCTCTATTTAAAACATCTTTAAAACAGCCTAGAGTGGTCGAAATGACTAGATAGGCGGGGTATAAATACAATAAAATAAATAAATAAATAAATAAATAAGTTATCAGTCTCAAACATGTTTACATTATTTGGTTCCGCTTTTAACAAGTCATACTTCTTAACTTCCATCAAGCCAGGTAACTTCTTGCAACAAAAGAGGAGATGAACTCTTATCTGTAGGTGTCCATTTCTGCCCAGTGCTCGAGGTCTCTGGCATATTGTCTGTCAGGGCTATGGTTGTGGATGGTATACCTAGCCCATCTGCGGCTCCCAGACTTTCTTCCCTGTTCTGTCTCAGCGGGTGTCTGAAAGGACTGAGCCCACAGGACCTATCAGTTGGCGCCATACATTTCCTGTGTTCTTTGATTTGTTCTTCCCTTCTTACCTAAGTTTTATATTCTTTCTTCCTTTCCTCTGTTTCGCCCCAATAGGGTAAGTAACACCCGCATGAATAAGAGAGAGGAAGAATTAGAAGAATTAATATACTTGTAATTATACAAATGCAATTTCGTAAGGATTTCTTAACTTAGAATGGGGTGGGCATGGGCGTTAGCTACTTTCGGATTTTATTTTTATGTTGGGGAGGGAGAGGGTAGAGGAACAACCCAACTCCCAGCTGTTGTTATTCCAGCAACTGAAATAGGAATATTGTGCCTGTATCTATACTTATATCCTGGTGGGCAGGAGGGAGACTCTGCAGTGGCCTGGGGTGGGATATACTTTGTGGTCCATACTATACCACTCCTAAATTAATAGCAACAAAGGTAAAGAAATGACTATACCTAATAATTCAGCGGTGGCTTTGTCAACTGTTTTGTGCCGTCAAGTAGAAACCAATTTATAGCAACCCTAATAGGGCTTTCGAGATAAGTGAGATGTTTAAGGAGTGGCTGTACCAGTAGGGAACGTGGTGGCGCTGCAGGCTAAACCACAGAAGCCTGTGCTGCAGGGTCAGAAGACCAAGCAGTCATAAGATCGAATCCACGCGACGGAGTGAGTGCCCGTTGCTTGTCCCAGCCCACGCCAACCTAGCGGTTCGAAAGCATGCAAACGCAAGTAGATAAATAGGGACCACCTCGGTGGGAAGGTAACAGCGTTCCGTGTCTAAGTCGCACTGGCCATGTGACCACGGAAGATTGTCTTCGGACAAAACGCTGGCTCTATGGCTTGGAAACGGGGATGAGCACCGCCCCCTAGAGTCAAACACGACTGGACAAAAATTGTCAAGGGGAACCTTTACCTTTACTTTTACCAGTTCCATATCCCCAAGTGAGTTTCCATGGCTGAGCAGAGATTCAAGCTGAGGACTCCTGAGACCTAGTTCATTATACCACACTGGGTACACTCCTTTGTCAACTGACCACTATTTAATTTTTAAAGCGAGTTTTCACAAGCCTTTATACAAAGAACATTTTATAAAATATTGCATTTCATATAAACATAACAATAAATTAGAAAACAGTAATTTCATACTTATAAAAAGGCAATATGCAGATACAGTACACGTCAGCTCAGATCCTGTTCAAAGTAACTCCTGATGACTTATTCTATGAAGTATTCAGAATATATAACAAGTTGCACACTTTTCTCTCTAAATTTAAACAAAAGGGTCAAAAAGAAAGGAAGAGGGCTAGGAGACCTGTTGATATTCCCTTTCCAGCTAGAGCTGTTTGTGTTCTGAATGCTGCCCGTGATCTTTAGGTATTATTTTGTAGTAGGGGTAAGGAGACTGTAGTGGGATACTTCAGAAAATCCCTGGTTTGTTCCTGCTACTGAATTCCAGTTGCAGAATTTAATATGTAACTACCTAGTTGAACCAGATTCTATTTGTTGCCTGGCAACTCATTAGGTTTAAAATATTTTTGATTTATTTTTTTTCTGTTGATTTTGCCTGATATGCTTGAACAGATTAACAAGGTGGCTACCTCTTCTAAAACTACTGCTTTACAGGTTTAATTATATTTGTTTATATTGAACTACTATATATTCTCAAACGCTGTAACAGAAGAATGTTATGGCCTACCACTGGGACAGTCTATAACCTGTAATCATATGTCCCCAAATGCTTGGTGCAATACTACTATTTGCACCATAATCTGCCTGTACCTACAATACTATTCTTTTGTTCAGAAGCCTAGGAGTAAAACCTTTGTAATCTGTACAAAACAAAAATAAATATATTGCAGAATCTTATGGATATTATATGGATTCAAGCTCCACTGTACTCGAGAAGTATTATTACCTACAGTGCAATTTTGGCTTTATTTGTGTAATAATTCTGCAGTTAAGTATATATACACTCTTTCTACATGAAATATTATTCTGATGGCTTTGCAAATAAAACTTTTAAAAAATATGAATTATTTAAGACTACTTTTACAAAGACTACTTTTACAAAACCTTTGGGTGATATATTTTATCCTATACATCTCATATATACACAAAGCTTTTATTCAATTTTGTTTTGCTTAACATAATGAAATGCAGAATTATTCTCCATTTATTTCATTAACTTCTTTCATTAGGCATCAGCTGACTACTTAATTTCATCATCAGTTTAATGACGAGCCCAGCCTGCAAACAAAAACAAAACAAAAGCAAAGTGAGTCTTTTCCACATAGAAATGACAGAGATGGGTTATAGCCAATGCTATGTGAGCAGAAATCTGCTTCTGCAAGGGGGCTTTCTCACTTCCCTGAGGAAGTTCCCAATTCTCAGTTCTCATTGTGGGAATTTTGAGATGGGTGGCAGGTAGCAATTTCCTGCTTGAGACAACAACTTCTGCCCAATTACCAGCTATTCTTTCCTTCCACCCACCTCGAACAACATCCTAGGTGAAAACAGCAAGAATGTTTTAAACTGATGAGGCAACAGATTGGTGTTCCAGTAGCAAAACCCAGGGCCCAAAAATGGCTGTATTGGTAGTAAAATATAAAATGCCTGAATGCTGCTTTCCTAAGTTTCTCTGTTATGAGATTTGTACTTCCTTCAAACAAATTCTGGCTATCTGCAGAAGATTGTTTTTTTTACCCCAGAACATCATCATCATCAAGTAACTAAAGAGGGGAGCGGAACTAAAATATGTGGGAGATGAATTTAGACTTGTAATGCTCCACTAATGGGTATGCTTTAGCTGGTATTTCCAGCATTATCAGGGATCAGGCTAGAAGACCCTGTGATCCCTTCCAATTTTATAATTATGTTAATGAAAAGTATGGTTTATAAACAAATTGTGAACTACTGCCCTGCTGAACTCTTATACAGAAAAAGTAAGAGCACAGAAACCTGCAATTTATTTGTTGGCAGAGTGTTTTAGGTCATAGAACAATGTCACTATCTAGCTGTTGCATATCAGACTGAATGACTTTGGTTTGCATCAGGCTAGCAATCTGCTGTTGGAATGCAGACTGAAAGGAATGGGATAGCTTGCAATAGTTGGAACTGCCACTAATTCTTCGCTCTTAAATTGCTGCTCTGCTACAGCTTTATCTAGAAAAGCTGATCCTCAGAGAATCATGGGGTCCCATCACGATTTGGGAGGAAGTGAGCGTAGTTTGGAAAAACATGCACAATATAATAAAGTTTTTATTTCTAAAATGGTACCTGTTGCTTTTGAGGCAGGAGAGAAAGGGAACTGAGTGGCTATATTGGGCCACCTTTCAATGCAGCTGACAAACCTGACAAAAATTCTTCAGCTTAAGGAAGAACTAATAGATGCTCAGTTTCCATCAGTCTCTGAATTAGAGAGAATGATGTTGCAGTTCCAGGCAAAGAATGAGGTACAAATTGAATTGTGTAGCCTTCACTGGAGGACAAGTGTGTTCTTCCTCTGATACTTCATCTTTGTACAGAACAAATGAGTCTTTTCTGAATAAGACAGGTTTTGCCTCCTGTGTCTTTAGGCATGTTTGTTCATGCTAGGCAAATTTCTTAACATGAGTTGAACAATATGCAGCTGGGCAGTGGGGGTGGGGGTAGGGCTGAAAATTCATCCCTAAGCAACATTTTGGAATTTATCTCCTATCTTGAGAAATTTGCCTGGCATGAACAACAGCCATGACATGAAACTTTGGTACTCTAATACCAGGGGTCTCCAACCCCCGGTCTGTGACCTGGTGCCAGTCCGTGGATGTCCCAGGACCAGGCTGCGGAGACAGATCTCCACCCCCGCACAGTGGGCGTGTCGTGCTCATGTGCAGTGCAACACCCCCCACGCAAGCGTGACACGCCCACCTGCAAGAGTGGGGTTGCCCCCACCCCCCGCATCCTGCCCCCCCAACCAATCCGCGATTCCAAAAAGGTTGGGGACCGCTACTCTAATACATATTTTTTTCTGAACAATACACAGGATCTTGGTGTAGAGCCTGACAAAGATGAACTATCATTGAAAGGTAGGTGTTTGCTTGATTTTTTGTTAGTGGTCCAATAAAAGTATCACCTACTCCTGCATTTATATTGTGTGTTTTATTTTTGGCCTTTTAAAGGTTTTTGTACCACTTAAAAGCATATCTAAAAAGGAAGAAATGTTCACAGCCCCAAACACCTCTGAGCCCTCAAACACAGCTTCTCATCAGCCACTCTGATGTGTGAGTTTGACACAAAATCCAGATGGAGACGAGTCACTATTAAAATCAAATAGGTACAGTAGTAAGAATTGGGTTTATTTTCCTTTAGCAATTAGCCTTACCTGTTTGGTATGGACAATAAAGTTCATTTTGTTTTCCAGACTATGTATTTGAAAACAGGTATCTCCTTCTCCCAACTGCCACATAAAACAACCATATTTTAAACTGATGAGCAAAGCCTGCAACATAAAAGATGCTAGCTGAAAATGCAAGCAGTATCTCAAATTGCCATGAACTGAAGCAATCATAACTTAAATTTTTGCCAGTTGGAATGATCATGAAGAGGCAGGCCCGCAAACAGCCTAAAATTCTTTACTCCAAGCTACAACTAGCTCTTCCTATGGATCCTTTCACAGCCTGCTCACCCAATGCTCAGGCAACACATCCATTCCACAGGGTAAGATACACTCACTGAAACACACTCACCTTCATAGGTATCCACATATATATCCCCACATGTCACACACATACAGCTTGTCCATGTACACACAAACACACAACTATCAAAATATTCCCTCCCCCCCAAAAATTAATCTGTACAGCAATTACTTAAAAGAGCAGTAAGCAAACATACCTTTGTTTCCATATTGAGTAGATGCAGCCCTTTGACATTTATGCCTACATACACTCTGATAACTTTATGATTACTTGAGCTTGCCTTTGTGAATACCTGCCCCGTGAAAAAAGCAGCTCCATAGGTAGGAAGCTCCCAGCAGTTTTGCAAAAACATGCGTTGCAGGTGATGCATTTCTTTACTCACACCCTCACTAGTACTGAGACTCTGGAAATACAAAATGAAAGAACTGGGTTTAATTTTTATATGAATAGAGTTTATTTGGCGAGAATAAAATGACCGACATGTATTACTTAAGAATGATGCATTTTATATAAAATATATAGGAACAGATACAAAATCATAAAGAACTCAGAACAAATATAAAATGAGCCATGGCACTGATTATAATAGAATTAATAGACCTGTGAGGTTAAATTCTGGGCAGCATGAACTACAGGCTGGCCTCAAGGAAAATTAAATACTGTATACTGTTTTCTCTGAATTTGTTTCTAGTACAAAAAGCCATATTGAATCAGAGCAAAGGCCTAAGTAACAAAATACTTATCCTATTTCCCACAGTGGCTAGTCAGATGCCTATGCAAAGCCTGCAAAGGAGAGTAGCAAGACAATAGATCTCTCCCATTGCTGTTTCCTAGCATGTTCTATTCAAAGGAATGGTGTGGTAGGATATATTATTATGACATATAATCAGTGGTAGCCTTGTTGTCCAATAGTTTTTTTCATCTCCTTTAGACACATCTATAGAGGTGGCAGTAATTTCCACTGATTAACTATGTGCTGTGTAAAAATGTTTTTCCTTTTCTCTGTTCTGAATCTCTTGTCATCCAGTTTTATTGCGTAATCTATGCATGCTTCAAGAATCATAAATAGGAAAAAACACTTTTCATTATCCACCTTTTTCTTTTTTATATAATTTTAAATTTTTATTTTAACAACCAAAATAAACAAAAGCAACAAAAATCACACTACAATACATAACATGCAAAAATTTCCACCTTTTCCAATTTCTGTTATATTTTCTTTTACTCACTCCTTTTCTAAACTGAAAAACTCCAAGCTTTGAAGATTCCAGACTCTTGGTTATTTTGGTTGGCTTTTTCTGCACCTTTCCCAGCTCTACAACTTTCTCTTTTTTTAGGTGTAATGTCCAAATCTACACAATATTCAAAGTGCAATTATACCACAGATTTGTCCAATAATGTGACATTAGCAATGCTGTTTCTGTATTTCCTTCCTGATGATTCTCAATATGTGATTTGTCTTTATCATATACAGAATGATACACATTTTAACTTCAAAAGGACTTAGATCCAGTACTACTGTCAAGTATATGCTATTTCAAAAGCAAGACAAAAGATGCTTTCAAACTCTTTAAAGGCAAAATAAATACACTAAGGCCAGTAGTTTCATAATCAGAATACTTTTTCTGCATTAACATTGTTGAACAAATACTTCCAAAATATAAAGATCAATTGAAAGAGCTCGGTTTTCTGAAGTTATGTTATTGTTAAAGCATCTTACTTTATATTCATGAAGTATTCGGTTTGTCCAGTGGGGTGCCTTGCTTTTCAATTTGGTGATTGGCACAATAGATTTCAAGTTTTCTTCACTGTGGACAAAAAGCAAGCACACTTAATTCATTTTACAAACTTAACAGACATGAAACACAAAATGTGTTTACCCTGATCAAGACATCTCATACTCAGTAAATTTGCTGATAACAGTCACTGAAGGGCACTTCTCATAAACACAAAACACTCCAAAGGCAATATATGTGCTTGTACAGATACGTTCATTTCATAAGGGAAGTGTGTAATTTAAAATGCACTCACTTTAGAAAGCCCTGCTTGTGTTTTTTACTTTCATAATTCCCATAGACTATTTGCAGCAGCAGACTTGCAAGTGTTATCAATTTGGCATCAGGTGATGTATAAAAGCCTTTCAGCAAATTGTATCTGGCCTCATCAAATAGGATAAGAATAGCCAAGGGATCCTCAATCTGTAACATGGTAAACATGAATAGGTTTACATTTATTTTTGAGAAATTATAATAGCATTAATTTTATAGACAGGTGACAGAGATGAGATGCTGATTTTTTTCCTTTAAAATTGGTAACATTTATTTTATTGTGCTCAGTAACTAACCAAGGCACCAATAAGTTGACTCATCCCTACAGGTCAGAAACCAACCTTCCTTCCTGGATGTACTTCTCTCCCTCCCTCTTTCTTCCCATAAGGGGCCCAAGGTGACTCACAATTAATTAAAACTATACAATAATCACAGATAAAACAAACACCATGACTATACTAAAAACAATTAAACATTTGTAAATATTAAAATGAAAATTTAAACTCATATTTAAAAGGACTGAAGATAAAGAATATAAAAAAAACCTAAACATCAGTCCAAAATTACCTCACTAATACTAACTTCTGGAATTTTTTTCCAAGGTAAACCTAATAAATAACTATAATACCAGACATATTTTTGCTCAGCAAACATTGAATTATCATTAGTTCCTTAACTGGGGAGCACAGGTAAAACCCGCGCAGACAAGCCATCTTGATTCTTCATACACCAAATGTTGATGCTGGATCATGACAGAAAGTACCACCGCGCTCAGTAACACCGATTTCTGAGATGACCGGAAGGATCGCTATGCTAAAGACAAACACTGCATCTAATTTTGTAAATTATAAAGCCTTCGAGAATACATTTATTTTATAAACCTTGTTTATTTTTCTGAGTGAAACTATCATGACCCTCCTTTTAATAATCATCTCGACTAACTCAAACTTGACAGTGCTCTGTTAAAATAAGGGACAGTAACCTTTTTGAGCCACTTTTGCTTGGCGATTTCCAAAGGTGACATAATGGCTCCTTCTAATGAATCTTAACTTTGTCAGAATCAGGAGTTCTTATATTTAAAGGTTATTGTAATTATTCTCAATTTTTTTCAGAAATCATCTGGGGAATGAATTTGTAAAGCAGTATCTGGAAGCTTATTTCACTTTTGAACAAATTTAATTTGAACAAACATTCTAATGAAATGATTACAGTGATCTCCAACCAAGTTTCCAAGCTGAGCATGCACACAGGCGCGCGCAACTCCACCTCCCTCCACACAGCTCGTGAGGAAACCCCGCCAGCAGGTGGGGGAGGCAGAGTTGGGTGCACACACACGCAGGGTGAAGTTGTGCATGCGAGAGACAGAGCCCCGCCCAATGGGGCTGAAAATCAGAGGGTACATTGCCTCCAACTATAGATTTTAGTTCTGAACTCCTGTTTCATACAGCGGAATGCATAGTACCAACCTTTTTTTCAACCTCCAGAGGAAGTCTTACATCTCTCCTCAGAAAAAGCTGCGGAGTTTCCCTTTGAGGATCCAGATTTGTTAATTCAGCGAGTATTTCAGGCCAGTCATGAACATGCTGCAAGGGCTTGTGATATGGCTTTAGTTGGAGACCTATATAAATAATCATAATTGTGTGTCATCACATAGATTCTAATTTGTGGCAACCTTTCTCAGGGTTTTCTGTAGACAAAGGACTCAGAAGTGGTTTACCATGCTCTTCCTCTGGGATCACATAGCTTGCCTATGGGCAGACAGACCAGCTCCCAATAACTATGTGGGCAATTCACTTCCCAACTGCAGCCAGGTCCTCCAACTCAGTGAGCTATCCAGCCAGTGGGAGACTAGTAAGATACAGCATTCACATACATGACATGTTCAATCTTGTCTTAAAGCTGTTGGAGAGCTATATAGCAGCTTTATTTTAAATAAATACAAATACTGTAAGACATTATGCATGTCTGATAAATATGAATGCTGCTATCATACAAAATTGGGTTTTTAAAGAAGCAAAACTAAATGTTATCAATACAGATGTAACAGTAGTATTGTAAATCTTGTATAGTATTATCAACATCCATTTCTCCCATGAGGAAAAAGGTCATGTAGGACCAGGGTCTCCAACCTCCGGTCGGCGATGGCCTTGGCAGGACCGGGACATGGAGACAGATCTCTTGCCTCCCCGCACACATACCCCTCGCACGCCCCCACCTAGCCCACCCACGCATGGGTGCCCAAGACCATCCACACACACACACCCGCCCACCTGCATGTGCATGCCCTGCCCACCCACATGAGTGTGCCCCCCCGCACATGGACCACGCCCCCCAAACTGATCCGCGGTTTAGAAAAGTTTGGGGACCACTGATCTAGGACATAGATCCTGTCAAAAACTGGTTATGTAAAGTATTAAGTAAGCTTTTTAGCTTGAAAGAAAAGAAAATGAACAGTGAAATCCCATATTTATTTACATAAATGTATTATTTAAATAATATCAGCTTGATTATTTATAATCATTATAATACTGTACTATGTGGCTTTCCCTTCATTTTACTGGGGAGATCAGTATAGCGATGCCAAAATGACTTCACCAGTCTGCATGACTTTGTGTATGTCCCTCTGTAAAATGTAAAGTTCTCTTAAATGCCATGACTCCTCCTGTCTTTGAAACATTTATCTTTCCTACTTCCAAACCTCCTGCATGCTTTGTTACAAAGGGAAAGCAGTTCCAAACTTACCCCATGTCCACAGCCTGAATCCACTCTTGAGATATCAAGCATTTTTGTTTTTTCTTACTTACCAAGGTTTTCAGAACAAATCCAAATGGTAAAATACTGCTGTGTTTCTTGAGAAAGACGCATTCCTTCCATTATCTGTTGTACAGTTGTGTTGTTTCCATGCTTCAGCTCCACAGATCGATACGACCCATCCATTCGATAAATTTTCACCTTTTCATACTACAGAAAAATAATTGAAAGGAGGGACCACCTTTATCTAGTGATAGTAGCAAATCAACACGTGTGGCTGCCAGTACTTTGCCCCCCTACTTCCAGATGAAGAAGGGATAAGTAATGAGCGTCCCTCAAATTCAGCACAAGATTATCCTCCACTCCACACTCCAGTTACAAGCTAAAGATGGTAACTGGAAGCCACCTGTGGCATACTATTTCTAGCACAGTTTGATTAGAATCAAAGCACAACTTAAAAATGACACTATTTCCACTTTTTCTTTAGATAAGAAATCAGTCTTTTTAAAAATTAGTCAATTAAAACAACTCTGAAAAGAAACCTAACATTATAAAAAACAGTTATGAATCATATATTAGAGTATAGTGGAAATGGTAAATGTATGGTCTTGCCTCAATACGACAGAATCAAACCTTTACATTCCAGTCACCGCATGAGATTAATGCTTTTTTGTGTGTTTTTAAAACTGCAAAAAACTAGTGCTTAAATGATTGATGCATACTGGTTTGTTTAGGGCCTCTTTCAGCAAGCTGGCTGTCTTTTCCCATTCATTTTGCTTGTTCTCCTCACAGACATTCAAGGGAGTTCTTCCTTGTTGATCAGTTATATGCTATAAACAAAAGTACAACAAAATTTTAAATGCAGCTTGTGTTTTTAAATACAGCAAATAAACCTGCCATATACTGAGTCAGACCTTTGGTCAGACTAGCTTAGTATTGCTAGCACTGGCTCACAGCTGCTTTGAGTGTTCCAGACAGAAGTCCTTCCAGCTCACACAAGAACTGCAACTGAGCTACAGGCCTTCTAGTGAAGGTTGCAGCATCAGTCTTTTACTTCTTGGATGGCATTCTTTACTGATCTACTGGAAGGGCTCCAGTTTTGGATTTTGCTTTCCAGTTCCACCACAAAAAGAATGAATCTTATTAAACAATGAATTAAAGTTTAAGATCATTTTGGATGCAATCCTTTGTAGATGATAAGTGTTCCCAATCAGAGTGAATTCTCTGCAGTCCGATTATTCAAAGTACCATTTAGAGCAGTGGCCGCAAGCTTTTCCTACTGGTTGGGGGGGGTCTGTGTGTAGGGGGCACCCTCCATGCTCACAGGAGGGTGGGGCACTCACTTGCGGGGGGGCGTGTGTGCATGGGTGTGCCCGCAGGGGTGGAGCGTGCTCACGTGCATGTGTGGGGCATGCTCACAGGTAGGCGGGACACTCATGCATGCACAGGAGTGGGGCACTCACTCACGGGGCAGGGGCGCTCATGCACATGCAGGGGGGAGTGCATGAGGGGGTGGTAGATCTGTCTCCACGACCAGGTCCTGCCAGGGCCACAATCCTCTATCGGGCTGCGGACAGGGGGTTGGGGACCCCTGATTTAGAGTGACAGCCACCTTGTCAAACATGCTAGCCTAAAACAGCAATAGTAGATCAAAGCCACTGCAGTAAAATTTTCTTATGTTTTGAAGCCGCTCAGAGTGGTATAAATATACCAGATGGGCGGGATATAAATCAAATAAACAAACAAACAAACAAACAAATAAAATACATGTTTTACAATGTTGTTGCTACTGAGAGTGACACCGTGCCGCTACTTTTTAATAATGTAGAACTGAAAATATCAAGTACGTTTCAAGGCAGAATGTAACTGCATATGCACGATTGCAATTACAAAGATATCTTACTCTGTCAATTTCTGGATGGTTTAGGAGGATCTGGACAATATCAGCATGACCTCCCCCAGCAGCAAAATGAAGAGGAGAGCTAAGCTGTCCATTCAGTAAATTTGGATTGCATTTCCCTTTCTCTAACAGCATTCGGGTAGCTTCAACTTTTCCATACCTATGGAAAGAGCAAACACACAAAGATTTCATATGAAATATAAAACTGTTCCAGAGATCCATAAAATAAATGAAATTTTGTTGCAATTCGTTTAGTTCACATCACACACTACCAGCTTTCTGGAATAAACTCGTGCTCCACAATAAACAATTAACATATTTTTCCATTTATAACATGCCCCCGCTTATAAGACGTACCCCCCCAGCTTTGAGGATTCAGCCTCTGGGCTCAGAATGGCCAGACATTTTGAGTCCCTGTTGCATTTGAGCCTACAGGCTCCACCTCCAAGGAGGTGTGTTCCAATTGGTTTGTACAGCATCAGCTGATGTCAATTTCATAAGGCTCATGATTGGAGGAAGCAAAGTCCTACCTATAGGAAGCTAAGCCTGATGACTGAAGGAAGCCTGTTTAGAGGCAAGGTATGTGCCATTTTGTTCTCTCCTCAGCTATCTCAGCTTACTTCTGTGTAAAAGACACCCCTCAATTTTTTGGGTAATGATTTTAGGAAAAGGTAGCATCTTATACATGGAAAGTAGCATACGGCAGTATTTGAAACTTAGTTGACACGTATATTAAATGAAATAAAATATTTCTTTGTGTTCTAATAGGTAAAGGTTCCCCTTGACAATTTTTGTCCAGTCGTGTCCGACTCTAGGGAGCGGCGCTCATCCCGCTCTTCAAGCCATAGAGCCAGCGTTTTGTCCGAAGACAATCTTTCCGTGGTCACATGGCCAGTGTGATTTAGACACGGAACACTGTTTACCTTCCCACCGAGATGGTACCTATTTATCTACTCGCATTTGCATGCTTTCGAACCGCTAGGTTGGCGGGAGCTGGGACAGGCGACGGGAGCTCATTCCGTCGCGTGGATTCGATCTTACGACTGCTTGGTCTTCTGACCCTGCAGCACAGGCTTCTGCGGTTTAGCCCACAGCGCCACCACGTCCCTTGTGTTCCAATAGTTGAAGATTATTTTAAAACTTCCCAATACTTTTACAGAGATTTTTAAAATATCACCTTCCAAGGATATATTTCCAGCAGGAATGAGACTCTAATCAAGAATGCTTGTCTATATAGTTATTACACATTTTCTATATTTCCAAAAAATCTGGGTTAAGTCTGTCTGGTCACAACTCTTTTTCGCAATTAATGTGTAATAAATATTACAGAGATGGGAAATATCACTATACTGTTGAATACCATGTGTATGTGTGAAGGGAAAATTTGTCTTGCATGGACTTCTGGAAGATTTACTATTATTGTTTGCATCCAGGATTTTGAAATTTATCTCTCTCTTTTCCTACAGTGAGCTCAATGAACAACAATCTCTCTCTCCTATTCTGTCCAAATGTATATGTACAACAACCCTGGCTGGACCGAGGTCAGCCAATAAATTCCATGGATAAATAAGATTGTGAACCTGGATCTTACAAAGTCTCAGCTGAGCATTCTAACCATTAACTGTCACCCAGGCTTCTAATCTACAAAGACAGGCCAACAACCAAAATGAAAGGAAAAAGAAAAAAACGGTGTGACCCTTGTATACAATATGAAGACAAGGGTGGGTAATGTCTTTATTAGACCAGTAAAATATAGTAAACATACAGCAAACATCATTACATTCTCTTCAGATTCGGCATTATTAATCCATACCGGGGTGTGTGCGTGTGTGTGTGTGCGCGTGCGTGTGTGTGTGTGTAAATATCAACCCTTTGTCTCCAGAGTTGTTGTTTAGTCGTTGTGTCTGACTCTTCATGACCCCATGGACCAGAGCACGCCAGGCCCTCCTGTTTTTCCACTGCCTCTGGGAGTTGCGTCAAATTCATTCTGGTAGCTTCAACGACACTGTCCAACCATCTTGTCCTCTATCATCCCCTTCTCCTCTTGCCCTCACACTTCCCCAACATCAGGATCTTTTCTAGGGAGTCTTCTCTTATCATGAGATGGCCAAAGTATTGAAGCCTCAGCTTCAGGATCTGTCCTTCCAGTGTTGATTTCCTTCAGAACGGATAGGTTTGATCTCCTTGCAGTCCAGGGGACTCTCAAGAGCCTCCTCCAGCACTACACTTCAAAAGCATCAATTCTTCGGTTGTCAGCCTTCTTTATGTTCCAGCTCTCACTGGAATACATCACTACAGGAAAAATCATAGCTTTGACTATGCAGACCTTTGTTGGCAAGGTGATGTCTCTGCTTTTTAAGATGTTGATTAGGTTTGTCATCGCATTCCTTCTAAGAAGCAGTCGTCTTTTAATTCTGTGGCTGCTGTCATCATCTGCATTGATCATGGAGCCCAGGAAAGTAAAATCTGTCACTACCTCCATATCTTCCCCTTCTATTTGCCAGGAGGTGATGGGGCCAGTGGCCATGATCCTAGTTTTTTTGACCTTGAGCTTCAGACCATTTTTTCACACTCCTCTTTCACCCTCATTACGGGGTTCTTTAATTCCTCCTCACTTTCTGCCATCAGAGTGGTATCATTTGCATATATGAGGTTGTTGGTATTTCTTCCGGCAATCTTGATTCCAGCTTGGGATTCCTCCAGTTCTGCCTTTCGCATGATGTATTCTGCATATAAGTTAAATAAGCAGGGAGACAATATACAGTGGTGCCTCGCATAGC